GATGGGAGTGAACATTTGTCCTTGCTGGCTTACTTTTTTTTTTTAACTTTTTCTTTCTTTTTAGAGATGTTTCTATGTAGGGCACAGTTATACACACAGCACACAAACTGATACACAGTGCATCTGTGGTGAGTTGTATGTGGGTAGGGGTCCCGGGACCACCCCTCTGCCCAGCCCAGGTCTGAGCACCCGCTGGCCTCTCCCGTGGGTGGTGCCCAGGTATCAGTGGGGCATCTCTCTGCAGCACCTCCCCAACATGGGCCACTGGACAAGGTTTCAGATCCCACCTCCTGCCCCAGTCCAAGCCAGGATCTTAATCGGCATCCCACTCGATCTTGGCACCTAGTGGCATATGCTAGTCCCCCAGATGGAGACTCAATATCCCTTCTGTTAGGAAGCCAATCACAGGCCCCAGGCTCCGTCATTGGCCCAGTCCCAGTGTGCACTGGGTCTTGGGTTCAGCAGTTCCCTCCCAAGCACCAGCCATCCACCTGGCCCAGGGCCCCGCATGGGGGATTCAGAGATGAGACCTGGCCCCCTCCCTGGGGTGGTCCGAGGCAAGATGGTCAGAGGCTTGGGAGCACCCAGGGACAGCTCTGTGATTCGGGTGGGGACTGCTCCAGCGGCCACCCCTCACTTTATGTGTCAGGGTTTTAAGCTCTGGGCCCTCAGAGGTGCCCAGGCCTGGCTTAGGCGAGAACTGACTACCTCTGGGTTTGTTTTCCAGCAGAGTCGCTACAGCTAGAGAGATCCGGAATCCAGGTGGGGGAACTGGTTATAAACACAGTGCAGGTGCTGGAGCAGAGAGGACGGATCGTGGTCTTAGAAGCACCTGAGGTCAGATCTCAGCCACTTGCTGGTGACTTGTGGGAAATCACAAACAGCTCTGAGCTTCATTTTTGTCGTCTGTAAAACAGGGGTTATCATGACTGCAGTCTCTAGGGGCCGTGTGTGAGTGCTCTGCTGTGTGATACAAGCTCATCTGTACTCAGACTGAGACGCCAGAGAGTTCTCTGGACGCTCCTAGCTTTTGGGGCAAGAGTTGGCCAAAAAACTCCCTGTTTATGAAGCTGTGCTGGTAGCTGGTTGGGAAGCAGCCTGTTGGGCCTCAGGAAACTCCCGAAGCTATTACTTCCCTGCTGTGGCCTGGCTGTGTCACAGCCCTGTGGTCACAGTCAGTGAATTTCCATATTACTCCTTGTCCGTCATTTGGACTCACCACACAGGGTCCTCTGGGCAGATCCCATGAGCGAACACAGGAAGTGCCCTTGGTTCAAGCCCCGGTGTACAGGCAGCGCGGTGCAAATTGCATCTACCTTATCAGCAGTGCTAATACTGTTCTGTTGTGGGACAGTGGTCTTCCCAGGGTCGGACGAGAGTGACACCCTGGTGCCTGGCTTCACCACACACCGTGGTGTGGTAGAGCCTCAAATACCAGGTTCTGAGTCCAGCCTTACCCCTTCCTAGCTGTGTAGATGACTCGGAGTGGATAACTGACCTCTCCCGCTGGCTGTTCACACAGGAAGAAGGCTGTCTCGTGAAAGGATTAAGTGAAGTCAGGTGAACAGCGCGGTGCTTCCTGCACCTGCTCTAACTGAGGTTTAGCCCTCCTTCCTTACCCAAGCAGGCGCTGGCTTTTGCTAAGATCCCAGCTGTGGTCTTTCAGGGCTGGTGAGAGCCAAGGCTCTGCCATCACAGAAGCTTGGATTTGACTCCTCATTCGCCACGGCCATGTGACCTTGAACCTCTGAGCCTCAAGTTCCTCATCTGTTAAGTGGGGTTAGTCACATTGACTTTATTGTGCTCTTATAAAGAGTAAATGAACTAAGATAAAGCCCTTAGCATAATGAAGTGTGTGTAGAAAGTCTCCATGACATCAGAGCTGCTGTTATTATTGTCATCGTTATTACCATCATTAGCATCAACTCTTTTTTTTTTTTTTTTAATACTTTAAGTTCTAGGATACGTGTGCCGTGTTGGTGTGCTGCACCCATTAACTCATCATTTACATTAGGTATATCCCCTGATGCTATCCCTCCCCCTCCTCCCACCCCATGACAGGTGCCGGTGTGTGATGTTCCCCACCCTGTGTCCAGGTGTTCTCATTGTTCAATTCCCACCTATGAGAGAACATGTGGTGTTTGGTTTTCTGTCTTTGCAATAGTTTGCTCAGAACGATGGTTTCCAGCTTCATCCATGTCCCTACAAAGGACATGAACTCATCCTTTTTATGGCTGCATAGTATTCTTTGGTGTAGATGTGCCACATTTTCTTAATGCAGTCTATCATTGATGGAGATTTGGGTTGGTTCCAAGTCTTTGCTATTGTGAATAGTGCTGCAATAAACATTCATGTGCATATGTCTTTATAGCAGCATTATTTATAATCCTTTGGGTATATATCCAGCAATGGGATGGCTGGGTCAAACGGTATTTCTAGTTCTAGATCCTTGAGGAATCGCCACACTGTCTTTCACAATGGTTGAACTAGTTTACAGTCCCACCAACAGTGTGATAGTGTTCCTATTTCTCCACATCCTCTCCTTTTAATGATCACCATCCTAACTGGTGTGAGATGGTATCTCATTGTGGTTTTGATTTGCATTTCTCTGATGGCCAGTGATGATGAGCATTTTTTCATGTGTCTGTTGGCTGCATAAATGTCTTCTTTTGAGAAGTGTCTGTTCATATCCTTCGCCCACTTTTTGATGGGGTTGTTTCATTTTTTCTTGTAAATTTGTTGAAGTTCTTTGTAGATTCTGGATATTAGCACTTTGTCAGATGGGTAGATTGTAAAAATTTTCTCCCATTCTGTAGGTTGCCTGTTCACTCTGATGGTAGTTTCTTTTGCTGTGCAGAAGCTCTTTGGTTTAATTAGATCCTATTTATCAATTTTGGCTTTTGTTGCCATTGCTTTTGGTGTTTTAGTCATGAAGTCCTTGCCCATGCCTATGTCCTGAATAGTATTGCCTACGTTTTCTTCTAGGGCTTTTATGGTTTTAGGTCTAACATTTAAGTCTTTAATCCATCTTGAATTAATTTTTGTATAAGGTGTAAGGAAGGGATCCAGTTTCAGCTTTCCACACATGGCTAGCCAGTTTTCCCAGCACCATTTATTAAATAGGGAATCCTTTCCCCATTTCTTGTTTTTGTCTGGTTTGTCAAAGATCAGATGGTTGTAGATGTGTGATATTATTTCTGAGGGCTCTGTTCTGTTCCATTGGTCTGTATCTCTGTTTTGGTACCAGTACCATGCTGTTTTGGTTACTGTAGCCTTGTAGTACAGTTTGAAGTCAGGTAGCGTGATGCCTCCAGCTTTGTTTTTTTGGCTTAGGATTATCTTGGCATTGTGGGCTCTTTTCTGATTCCATGTGAACTTTAAGGTAGTTTTTTCCAATTCTGTGAAGAAACTCATTGGTAACTTGATGGGGATGGCATTGAATCTATAAATTACCTTGGGCAGTATGGCCATTTTCACAATATTGATTCTTCCTATCCATGAGCATGGAATGTTCTTCTATTTGCTTGTGTCCTCTTTTATTTCGTTCAGCAGTAGTTTGTACTTCTCCTTGAAGAGATCCTTCATACCCCTTGTAAGTTGGATTCCTAGGTATTTAGCATCAACTCTTAGAAAAGAAGAAAAGCTGTTGTCTGAAAGCAAAAATAAAAGTATGCACCAAGGCCGGGTGTGGTGGCTCACACCTGTAATCCCAGCAGGTGTTATTTACTTTTTTGGGTTATTTACTTTTTTGAGACGGAGTCTCGCTCTGTTGCCCAGGCTAGAGTGCAGTGGGGTGATCTCAGCTCACTGCAACCTCCGCCTCTTAGGTTCAAGCAGTTCTCCTGCCTCAGCCTCCTGAGCAGCTGGGATTACAGACATGAGGCACCACACACCCGGCTGATCCCAGCACTTTGAGAGGCTGAGGCGGGCAAATCACCTGAGGCCAGGAGTTCAAGACCAGCATGGCCAACATGGCAAAACCCCATCCCTACTAGAAATACAAAAAATTAGCTTGGCATAGTGGCGCATGCCTATAATCCCAGCTGCTCAGAAGGCTGAGGCACGAGAATCACTTGAACCCAGGAGGTGGAGGTTGTAATGAGCTGAGATCATGCCATTGCACTCCAGCCTGGGCAACAGAGTAAGACTGTCTCAAATAATAATAATAATAATAAATTTTTAAAAAGAAAAAAAAGGAATCCAATAAATCAAGAGGTTTGACCCAAATTACAAACACACAGCATGGAGTGTTTATTTTTTATGAATCCATCTATAGAATTTCCACTCAATTCTGATCACTGAAAGGTGAGAATGGCCCCAGGGTCCCAGCCTAAGCCCCCTACGTTAGTTTACTAGGACTGCTATAAAGTACCATCGACCTCGTGGCTTACACAACAAACGTGTTTCTCTCAGTTCGGGAAGGCACAACCCTGAAATCAAGGTGTGGGCAGGGCTGGTTTCTCTGCAGGCCTCTCTCCTGGCTTGCAGACAGCGGCCTCCTCGCTGAGTCCTGGCTGGTCTCTGCTCTGCGTGTCCGTGTTTCCTCTTCTTCTAAGGACATCTGTCTTCAGCCTCATTGTAACCTCATCACCTCTTTAAAGGCTGTATCTCCCAGTACAGTCGCATTCTGAAGTACTGGGGGACAGACCTTCAGTATATGAGTAGGGGGCAAAGTTCAGCCCAAAACACGCCCTAATGGTCCCAAAGAGGGAATGAACAATGATCATGTAGCCTTGGTTCAGGGGGCACTGTGAAGTTTGAGGAATAGACAGCTCACGCCCTCGGGTGCCATGAGGAAGTCACTGCACAGGCCTGGTTGTGAGTCCTCGTGGCCACGCTGAGAACATTGACTTGCTCATCCTGGAGGTGGGAGTGGGTGGAGGAGTCGGTGCCACTGACTTCCTGCCAGGCTCTCATTCCATCTTTTGGCCCACCTGGGACAGTGCCGTAAACCTCTCCTTGTCCCAACCAAAGCTGACTGTCACCCTGTCTCGTTCTAGGTCGGACTATGATGACTGGAGACCGTCTCTGGCCAGTTTGCTTCAACCCATTCCATTCCCCAAAGAGTAAGTCCCATGCACATCCCCGGAGCCCTCCCACCTGTGAGGCAAACCTCAGTTGTCCACCAAGGCCTTAGTGGGGGACCAGTCATGTTATGGGGAAGCCGAGTCACAGTGGGAAGACCCTGGAGACGTTGGTCCTAGCTCAGCCATGTCGTCAGCTGTGGGACCTCCTCAGAAAAATGGAGAACTCAGGAGAACAGGGACGTTGTAGGAGCTGTCTGACTGCATTGTCACAAGGATTCATGAGCTAAGAATGCAAACAGAGCCCTCCCCACGGCGCCTGGCAGGCCGTGCAGTTAGCATTTTTTATTACGCACCAGATGGGAACCGTAATACCTGCCGCTCCTCTTCCAAGGGCGATAGTAAGAATCAAAAGATAATGCACGTGGAGTTGCTCGCTGTGCCGTGCTGAGATGCTGGAAGCACTCTGACTACGCCCGTTACAATGCCCAGCTCAGGCTCCGCAGCAAACCTGGCCAGAGACAGACCCTCTGCCTCTCCCTTGCCGGCCCCTAGCACCGTATTGAAGTGATCACTGGAAACCAGAGAGAACGCTGTCTGGTGGATAATGGCCTGAAGAGAAGGCTTTGTCAGAATAACCAGGCCCTGAAATGCCTCCAGGTCTCTTTCGAGAGGTTGGAGGGAGCCAGCCTCGGGAGGCGGCTGGGGTTCTCCAAGGAGCTGATTACTGAGCGTGTTTATGAAACGCTGCCTCTGTAAGGGCACATTACACGCGGTAATTGCCCCATTTGCTGGCTTGGCCAGTCCCCGAGGGTCCCAGGACTTGAGACCAGAGAAATCCAACTCCTAAGAGGCACTCAGTCTCGGCAGAGTCGTGACGTCTTTGGCCTCAGCCCCTGTCCCCATAGGCCTGGGCGCTCTTGGCTGTGGCAGCTGGCTTAGAAGAATGGTCCCCGATGGCCGCTGATGTGTGCAGTAATGAGTGCCGCCTGCCTTAATTGTGGAACAATTAATGAACACACCTGGGTCCCTGGAGCCCACGTGCACCCACACGTGCTCAGGCAGCGGCTTAGCCCCTCTTGTTCACAGGCGTGGGCCTAGGGAAGTTTTGGGAATGGGGGGCCCAGTCTGTTCCCGCTGCTATGATCTGTCACCTCCTCAAAGAAGGCCTTTGTTTTGGAGCTTTGAGTGGGGACAAAATATTGGCTTTTCACTCAAATTCCTCTTCATTCTTTGAATCAGACGTAAAGTCTAGACGTCCCCAGAGGTTAATCTTGGGAACATTGTGCTGTTTCCGACGCTTCTGCTAACTGCCGTGTTTTCCCCTGTTTTTATTACAGAGCTCTCGCTCACGAGAAGTTCACCAAGTGAGTTTCTGGGCACCGCCCTCATTCCATTCTGGCACGCACGGCCTCCGTCCTGAGGTCTTCCCTCCGTGGCACGTGCATTCTGGGAGGCAGTGGTGGCTTCTCTTGGCATCCCTGATCCACCAGCTTGGATCCAGCAGCTTGCCCAGCTCCCTGGCCCATTCCTGCTTGACACCATCCCCTCCCCTTCCCACACCTCCCACTCAGTCCCAGACCCCGGCAGTAACCCTGGCCGCCTCGTCTGTTCCAGGGAACTGAAGTACGTGATTCAGAGGTTCGCTGAAGACCCCCGGCAAGAGGTGAGGCCTTTCTTTCTGCATCTCAGGCCCGCTGTCTCGGGACAGCAGGATGCACGAGGGCCCCTCAGAGGCCTTCCGAAGCTCTGGTGGGGCCTCCTTGTCAGCGACAGGCATTCGGAACAGCTTTCAGAGACCCATTGCCTGTGCGGAAACACAGCCCCGCCTGGTGCAGAGCCCAGCCTGTGATGTCAGTGTTTTACTGTAAACGCCGGCTCACCAGGGGTGGTTTTCCACTGGCTGGTGGTTTCTCCCCACAGCCGAGGCCTTGATTTCGGGTTGGGCTGGCATGGCAGCTCCCAGCCAGCTCTGAGGCAGCATTTTGATCCTGTCTGGTTCTGCTATTATGTGAATCATTGGGAAGAGCAAGGAATCGGAGCTGGGATCAGAGCTGGGTTTTTATTTCCTGGTCGTGGTGGCCAAGGGCTTCCCTGAAGGGCTGCTGTGTCCCTCACCAAAGCTGGCCTTCTGGGGAGAGGGCAGCCTTCTGCCTTCTGCCCCCAAGCCTGTGCACATGGGCAGGGACCTAGATGGGCAAGGAAGCCAGCCCGTAGCCCTGGGCCTGCATCACCTGATAGTAGCAGCAGCAGCAGCTGTCCTTTATGAGGTGCTATACCCCGGGCCAGACACGTTCCTTTTCTCATCCTTACAGCGTCCCTATGAGTGTCTTCTGTAGTATTCCCAGTGTTGCACGGCTTGTTCACGACTGAGGCAGGATTGGAGCCTGGTGCTGATAACCAGCTCACTGCGCTGTGTGCTGTGCCCTGAGATGCTCACAGCCTGCTTCTGTGTGCATGAGTTCTGGTGTGGTAGGGACCTGACTCCCGGTTGAGGACAGACCTAGACTCGTGCTCCCAGCAGAACAGCGGGGGGAAGGACAGGCAGAGGACAGAGGGCATTATTCTCCGTGGAGCCCTCCCCAGGAGGCTTCCTGGAGAAGGTGGTAGTGAACTGGTTGGACTTAGCTAAATGGATCAAACTGGACCTTAGTCTGGAGGGTGGAAAATGGTGTTTGAGAAGGAATCTGAGGACACATAGACCCCAAGGTCTTGTCGTGTCCAACCATGGTGGGTCTCTCTGACTCAGAACCCGCAGTTTATCAGGCTGTAATTCCAGAAGTTCTAGATAACTGTTCTCAAACTATATTACCTGAGTAGCTTGTTCAAAAGGCAGACCCCCCCCCCGCCCCGCCCCTACATTCCTTCCTGGTTCCAGCTCATGGGGCCTGGGTGGAGCCAAGCATATGCATTTCGACGCATTTTGAACAAGCATCCCAAGTGGTTCTGAGGGACTGGTCTCCAGGCCACACTGAAAAACCTAGTTCTGGAGGGGTCTTGAAGAATCTAGTTCCAAAACACCCCAATTCTAAACACCCATTTCCCCAAGGGATCCTCAGGCGTGGAGGGAAAAAGGAGAAATGGTGGATATGGTGCTTTTAAATGTCAGGGACCAGTGAGTGTCTCCATTCTTCTTCTAAAACTGAAGTCATTCCTTGCCACCTGTGAAGACAGCAGCTCAGAATTCTCCTGGGAACTGAGCCTTTACTCAAACCCAGACTTTGACGTTTGGAGAACAAAAGTGGTACCAGCTGCTTCTCGGAGTAGAGAGGCAGGGCCTGCTGCTGGGAGGGTAATTTTCAAACCCGGGTACCGTGCATGAGGCCCCGAGTGACCTGCAGGTCTGGAAGGAGCCAGGTCCCCTGGCCAAAGTCCCACACCCAGGCCCTTGTTCTCCTGTTTGCCTCTTTCTTTTCTCTGCTGATTCTGTCTCCCTTTTCCTCCTCACTCTTCTTGCTCCCTTCCCTCCTACCTTCACACCTTCCTAAATGAAGCCAAAGCTGTTTCCTTTAAAATTATTTGCTATATTTGTTGAATAGCATCTTATACTCCTAAGTCCTTATTGCTTTGAAGTCAGTAAGTAAACCCTTGATATTCTTACAGCTCAGAGGGAAAAATAAAAGCCACTGCCTTTGTTTTCTGTGTGCCCATGTGTGGGTTGTGATCAGTTTAGCATCTGTGGGTAACTGATTCTTGGCAGCAAATTGTCCTTTCCTAAAGGAAATAATGAGGAACTTCTCTCAGCTTTCTTCCGAGGACGGGAGGAGGTGGGGAAAAGTCCTCTGTGTTTTGTGCGCACTCTCGCTCTCATGCTCTCTCTCTCCCTCACTCTCGCCGCTTTTCCCCCTCTCCCTCCTTCCCTCTCTCTCTGTGTAATCACAGCAGGGGCCAGAGTAGATGCGGAATTCCTCTCATACACTCACACATGTGTGCTCACATGCACAAGCAGGCCCATCCACACAGGCACACAGCTCTGGGAAGGAATGTGAGAGCTCTGCTTTTGGCACTGAAACTGCCCCCAGCCATGGACAGAGATCCTTCAGTGGAGAGGGACAAAGACTCAAGGAAGGAAGTGGGGATGAGACCTAACGAGAGAGGGTGGCAGAGTCCCCAAGAAGAGGGGAGAGAGAGAGAGAGCTTAGCAGGGCAGATACGTGGAGGGGAGGATGGTGCCCACACAAGTCCAGAAAGGGAAGAAGGCAGACACCCAAGAGGGAGAGTCGGTGCTGGGGGCAGCAGAACCGCAGACAGATAGCAGGGAGAGGTTTCTAGAGAGAGGGCAGAGAGCACGGGAGAGGAGTTAGAAACACAGAGAGAGGGGGACAGAGAACCAGACAGAGGACGGAGACCCAGGAGATGGCCCCGTCCAGAGGAAGGCATAGCAGAAGGGGAAAGGCGCAGGAGAAGGGGAAAGGGGGCTGACTGCGGGCGGTTGCTCTGGACATCTCTGCCTGGTGCAGCCGCAGGCCCGCTTCATTCAGATCAGCCGGTCAAGCCAGGGCCTGCCCTCCCTCCTGTGCAACTGACAGCCAGTAGCCAGAATCCCCCAGGGTGTGGGGCCACGGTGTTCCCCAAAAGACCTTTCATGGCATTTGGTGGAAGGCTGGGGGTTGCTGGAGGAAACAAACGGGTTTCTTGACTGCGGGACTTGCCCGAGCCTTTCCCATTCGTGTGTGCAGATCGCGGTCGCCTTTGTCACCAGGGCTGCATGCAGCTCACACTTGTGTCTTCCCCTGTCTGGCAGGTCCACTCATGCCTGCTGAGTGTGCGGGCCGGCAAAGATGGCTGGTTCCAGCTCTACAGCCCCGGAGGAGTGGCCTGTGACGATGACGGGGAGCTGTTCGCCAGCATGGTATGCAGTGGGGCCCCAGTGGGGCGACTTCCAGGGGGCCCTGGGCTTGCCATGCCTGACTAGTAAAACAGCTGCGCCCATCACCTGGACCCAGCCCTGGAGTTTCCAGCCTTACACAGTGCTGGTCATGAAGGTGGTGGTGGTGACTGTGACCATCACTTACTCATTTCTTATCTGAGGCTCCAAGCCAAGCACTTGGCATCCCAGTTGCCCTCCGTCTCTCACAGCTCAGTGAGAAGAGGACACATGTCATTGCCCCATTTTATACCCAAGGCAGCTAAAGCCTGGGGCGTTACTGCCTAAGGTCACACAGTTCATTGTCATGGTTATGTTCCTACAAGGGATTGAGTGCCCAATGGGACCAGGGATTCTGGAAAGCACTGCAGGTCCACCAGCTTGTTTAATCCTTACAAGGAGGTGTCCCGGTCAGGGTGATTGTCCCCACCATCATGTGCGGTCTGAGGTCACCAAACCAACAGCTGAATCCGTGATGACTTTCTTTGTGCCCGGCATTGTATCCATCACTTCATGTGCACTATCCTTTTTAATCGGTACAGCATCCTTGTTGTTGAATTACATCTCTGTTGAAACAGAGGCCCAGAGAGGTTCGGTGGCGTGCCTGGGGTCACACAGGCCTTCTGTTTCCAAGCCCTTCCTTGGCCAGGCCCACATGCTTGCTTTCAGGAGTAAAGGGCCAGACTCTTCCTCCCCCAGGGCAGACGCTGCACCCTAGTGGCCAGCAGCCTCACTGACTCCACTTGCTGAGAAAACCAGCTCCATTTCCTGGTCACTGGTGCTCCCATACTTGGGCTGGTAATTTGCCTCTGCCAGCTTCAGCCCCTCGTCCAGGAGCATCGCATTGGCCTCTCGAGGTTACCATAGCGATTGCATGCAACAGGAGATGCAGGGCGCCCGGTGGGCCGGCACAGTCGCTGCTCAGAAATGACGCCAGTGGTGATTCTCGTCTCTGCTGGGTGGCTGGTTTGGCTCTCCGCACTGAACTTAGCAAAGATGTTTGTGCAGTGATGACAAATTGAGGCGCTGCCCCTGGAAGCTTCTTGAAAGGGGCTTATTTTTAGGCCCTTTGCCTCATGCACTCCCTCTCCACTCCTTGCCTGCCACCCCAGGCCTCTCAGGGCCCTGCGCATCTAGGAATGTGACTGCCACTGCCAGCCTGCACCACCTCTCTTGCGCTCTCAGTCACCTCTCGGGTTCTCCGCTGATGTCACAGCTTCACCATAGCAACGCTCAGCAGCCCCACCCCCACCCTACAGTGTGGGGATTCGGTGCAAGAAGGCTCAGGGAGCTGGCGACTTCCCAGCCCGAGAGGTTGCATTGGTATGCCAGAGCTGTTCATGATGGAGCGGAAAAAATACACACAAGGAAGGAAGCAGGCAGCCGCTGGATGGAAGTGTGTTGTTGCCATGGAGACGCATGGCTTGGAAGCCGGCCCCTCGATGAGGCTGCTTTCACCACCACCAAGGGCATTTGCCATTGTGTGAAGTTGGAGGAAAGCCAGTGGGGTGTCCAGGCCTCCCCCAAGCCCTGGTGGCCGGGGACCCCTGCCCTTGGGCCCCCATCACCCATGCAAAAAGACCGCCCAACATATAACCCGGGAGGGAGCAGGATGTGCCAATTCTTGGATTCCTGGGGCAGGCAGTCTCCCAAAACACTGTTCCGAGCTCACAGCGGGCTTGGCAGAGGTGGCTGGGCTTCGTCACGTCCCCTACCCCGAGATGTACACCCCCCTTGCAAAGCCTGCCTAGAAGTTTCTGCCCGGTTCCAGCGATGCCAGGAATTCAAAGGATCCACTGTCAGCAGACTCCTAAGGGGAGCAGGGAAGGGGGCCTTTTTGGTTTTGGCAGTAAAATACACGTAATGTAAAAGTTAGCATCTGTAAGCACACTGTTCAGTGACATTAAAGACATTCCCGTTGTTACGCAACCATCACCACCGTTCATCTCCAGAACGTTCTTATCTTCCGAAACTGAAACTCAGCATCCATTACACACTCACTCCCCCTTCCTCTCATCCTCGGTCCCTGGCAGCCACTTTTCCTTTCTGTCTCTGAATTTCCCTATCCAGGCACCTCATGTAAGTGGAGTCAGAGTCATCCTTCTGCTTAAAACTTCAACGTAATCAGTGTTTAAAACATCAGAACTTTTATAATGGCAGGAGATTACATATTTAGAGACTCTGTTACGGATACTTAAAAAACTAGCAAGGGCCAGGCACAGTGGCTCACGCCTGTAATCCCAGCACTTTTGGAAGCCAAGGCGGGCGGATCACTTGAAATCAGGAATTCAAGACCAGCCTGGCCAACATGGTGAACCCCATCTCTACTAAAAATACAAATAAATTAGCCAGGCATGGTGGTGCATGCCTGTAACCCTAGCTACTAGGGAGGCTGTAGTGGTAGGATTGCTTGAACTCAAGAAGCAGAGATTGCAGTGAGCCAAGATTGCACCACTGCACTCCAGCCTGGACAATAGAGCGAGGAAAAAAATAAAAATAGCAAGGGCTACATTTGTTTCAATCAATAGACTTTAAATTGCACTCTAGTCAGCTTTTACTGCGTTTAGTATTATAAATTTATACAAAAGATACCCTTGCTGAGATGGGGCTTGCAGTTAAATCAGGTCCTACTAAAAACCGTAAAAGGCAAAAGACAGAATGAAAAGAGGTATCGTGAACGTGACTTTCGCGACTGGCGTGTTCCACTCAGCGTAGCGTCCTCAGGGTTCATCTGGGTTAGACCGTGTGCGGGGGAAGGATCTCTTGCATCCCCCGGGGGCCTGGTGATCCTAGAACACTGGCCGTCCGGACAGCGTGCAGGCAGGTCTGTTCAGTGACTCTTGGGCCCGCTTCCTGCCGGCATGCTGGAGGCTGGCACTGGGTGTCTCTGTCCCTTCACCTGGGCCTTCTTGCCTCACAGGTGCACATCCTCATGGGCTCCTGTTACAAGACCAAAAAATTCCTGCTCTCCCTGGCGGAAAACAAGCTGGGTCCCTGCATGCTCCTGGCACTGAGGGGGAACCAGACCATGGTGGAGGTAAGGAGCTGGTCGGGGTCTCTGTCGGGATGGCTGGCTCCCCATCCCTTGTCCTTGCTGATAGAGCATCTGCTGGGAGCCAGGAGCTGCTGCAGGCACAGGGGGCAGTGGGCAAGGCATGCAGTCCCGGCCGCCCTGAGCTTAGCGGGAGCCTCGAGCCTTCATCACACAGTATATTTGTTTCTGGTGTGATCCAGCTGATCCATGGATCGGTGGGGTTGGGGTTGCTTCTGTTCTGCTCATCAATTGCTGTGTAACAAACCACCCCTAAGTGAGGGCTTTAAAACAAGATCGCTCATTTATTTTGCACATGGGTATTGGGGTGCCTGGGCACAGCTACGCACTTCTCACTTGGGGCCTCATTAGTCGGATGGGGCCAGGTTGGATGAGCCCCAAGGCTGCTTGCATTGGCCTGAGAGGCCTCAGACACTGAGGGTTTTGCAGGGTGGGGCTTCTCAGCCACACTCTCCACCTCATGGCGTCCGGGTAGTCTGCCCACCTGCCCAGAACACACACACCCAGCCCTGCAGGCCACCCCTCACCTGCTGCTGCTCCTCTCTCTCCCTGCATGCTCCAAAGTCCCCAGAAGCCTGGGACTCCCAGAGCGACTGTCCCAAGGGAACCAAGGCAGAAGCCTTATCACTTTTTAACTTAGCCTCCCTTGGAAGGCAGGCGGCATCGCTTCTGCCACATCGTACTGCTGGCAGTGAGTCACCGTGGCCGGCCCTCAGTCAAAGGCGTGGGAGCTAGACTTCACCCTCAGTGGGAAGAGCATCGAAGAGGTGGCAGGCAGGGCAAAGCCATGGGAGCTCCCATGGAAATGAGAGTTGGGGGAGATGTGAGCCCTGGGGAAGAGGCAGCGGGAAGGTGGGAGCTGAGCAGGCTGTGGGGACAGCCCGGGCTGAGGTCCTGCAGCAGGGAGGACCAGGGTGGCTGGAACACAGGGAACCAAGGGGCAAGAGGTCTGGGATGTGGGTGGATGTGCATGAAGAGCCTTCTGGGTACCCAGAGGTGCTGGGAAGGAGTTTGGATTTAGTCTAGGCTGTCCTGTGACAGGGATTCGGAGGCCATGGGGGAGGGTTGAGCAGGGAGACAGGAGACAGACAGGAGGTGCTGTGAAAAGCTTGGGCTGAGTGACCGTTCCTTGGCGAGTGAGAAGTTCTGGGAGAATTGAGCACCATGGCATGCACCTGTAGTTCCAGCAACTCAGGAGGCTGAGGTAGGAGGATCGCTTGAGCCCAGGGGGGCGAAACTAGCCTGGGCGACATAGTGAGACCTCATCTCAAAAATAAATAAATAAATAAATAAAAATAAGTCATTGGAAAGAGAATGTCAGAGGCAGGGCTGTCAGGCATGTTGACTCCCAGGCAGGTGAGCCACATGTACAGTCACGAGGCTGTCTCTGGAGCTGTGTGGGGTAGACGGGCCCAGGGCTGCGAGCCGTTCTGTGAGCTTGAACACCTGCTCTGTGACAGCCACTGGGGAAGAAACTTGGGGGAGAAAGAGGTGTGGCTTTCCAGCAGTGCTTGGGGGCCTGCAGCCATCCTCAGGGGCCTGCCCCGTGTCCAGACACAACACGGTAAGCAGATGCCTGGGAGACTCCCATGTCCCTTGACGTTTGAACCTGGAGAACCTCAGTGCGCGGGCACTGGTGCTACCATTGCACAGGCAGGAAGATGGGCAGGGGATTTGCCCAGCCTCACACAGCCAGGGCTGCGGACAGGGGAGAGTGGGGTTGCTGGTTTTCAAAACAAGACGCTTGGGGTGCACAGAGTGTGCTAAGCTGGGGTGGCAGGCCGGGTCCGTAACGCACCGCTGTGGTTCTGGGCAGATCCTGTGCTTGATGCTGGAATACAACATCATTGACAACAACGACACCCAACTGCAGATCATCTCAACCCTGGAGAGCACAGACGTGGGGAAGCGCATGTATGAGCAGCTGTGCGACCGGCAGCGGGAGTTGAAGGAGCTGGTGAGTGCCCGGCTGCTCCGGACCGCTCCTCTGCCCAGCAGGCCAGGGCGGGTTCCAGGGGAGCTAGTACTTGGACCTGAGTGGACCTCAGTCTCATTGAATTCTTCTCCAAACCCAAGAAATTGGTATTACCACCTGCCACTTTTCAGGTAATCAGAGAGAGGCCTAGAGAGGCAAAGCAACGCCCAGAGTCACGTAGCTCATTGGAGCCTGGCCAGGACAGTGCCCACCCTCCCTCCTCCATGTCCCTTAGACCCTTCCACTTAAGTGCATGGGGGCCCAACTTCCAAATGCCAGCACCCACACCTCTTTGCTGAAGGACTTTGTATGTCCACGTGCGTATACTCACATGTGTGCACAGAAGGACAGAAGGGGCAGGAAATTGATGCCTTCTAATCTGCTGGAGCAGCCGCCAACCAGTGCCTCTTGGGAGAGTGTGTATCAATACCCCAGCTCCCTTCAGTGAGATATGTTTCACCCATTCAGTGAGATATGTTTCACCCATTCAGTGAGATATGTTTCACCCATTCAGTGAGATATGTTTCACCCATTCAGTGAGATATGTTTGAGACATGGCTTCTCCACCATTTCTTAGAGTCCCCCGGTGGGATGTGGTGCCAGTACCCATCTAGCCAGTGATAGCTGGATTGATAACACCCCTTCCATTATGGGCAGCCACAGTGTCACTTCCCCATTCTTCTACTGGTGTTTCTTGGGGTCACCTTCCAATAAACCACCGGTGCTCAAACCCCATCTCTGGCTTTGCCCCTGAGACCAAGACCACCATGTTGCCTTGTACAACCGAGAAAATAATGATGGCTCCATGAGTGCTGTTAACAGGGGTGGAAGTCCAGGATGGAAACCTGGGGAAAAGAATGGTTGTAACCAGCCTGGTTTCTGTTGCAGCAAAGGAAAGGCGGGCCCACCAGGCTAACACTGCCCTCCAAGTCGACAGTGAGTTGGTTTGGTTCTCTTTGGGGCTGGATGGAGAAAGTGGGTTGGTCCTCTCTGTTGGGGAGTGGCAGGTGGTGTCTGCAGCTGAGATGGGAGGTGATGGAGGGCGAGGCACAAGGACCCCCTAGTACTTAACATGCCAGCTCTTCCAGGAGGTAGCTTAGAGGAAGAGATATGAAAACCAAAAACAAAGTTAAAATGTGATATAGATCGTTGGTGATAATGGTGTTGATATCCAGTTATTAATAATACTGGGAATAATAGCAGATATACCTTGAGCATTTGTGTGCCAGATGCTATTCTATTAGTTCTATTAGTTCATTTTATCCTCACAGCAACCCTTGGAGGCTTGTGTATCTTACCATTCGCATTTTGCAAGGTCTTTAAGGATCTTATTTCCTTCTATTCTGATGCCCGCATTATATTTGATACATGGCTGCTACTTCCTGGACCAAAAGGGCTGCTCAGGCTCCAGCCATCTTGTTTCCATTTCAGCCAGCAGGAAGGAGGACATACCCCTTCCTCTTAAGAAACTTCTTGGAAGTTCTACTTGACATGTCTACTTACATCCCGTTTTCTGGATTTAGTGTGTGGGGCCACACTTAGTGGCAAGGGAGGCTGGAAATCACCCTTCATTCCGGGCAGCCACATGGCCACTAACACTCAAGGATGGAGGGGAGTCTCAGGAACCTCCGAGTCCAGTGCTTAGGCATGCGCTGATGTCTTCAGGCGTTAGACTTGAGTGTGGCCTCGGTGTTTGCATGAGCTGCTGCCTGGGAGTGGGACAGCCAGCCACATACCCTGATGCACACAGACAGACACACACAGAGACACACGGACACACCCACACACACACACATACACAGGCATGCACAGACACACACAGGTACAGACACACACATATACAGACATACATGCAGACACACACAGATATACACACATACAGGCACACACACACAAAGACACACACACACAGACGCCTGTGGGAGGATCGTGGCCTCAGAACACCCCGCTGGTGACTCAGGGTGTGAGTCACAGCACTGGAGGCTTTCTCCTCCGCCTGGCAGCTGTCATCCATGGGATGTGCGGCAGCCCCTCCCTCTCTGACCACCCCCTTGGCCCATCCCACCAAGCCGTGCCCCCACCTCGGCTCCTGGGATTTGCCGCCCCCCAGGAACAGCTCCCTGTAGGGCGAGGGAGAGGAGGAGGATAGGGGATAGAAGGGCCCAGGGTCTCAGGAGATCCCAGCAGGTCCCTCAGGCCTCTCCCGCATCTGCTCGCAGGACGCTGACTTGGCTCGTTTGCTGAGCTCTGGCTCCTTCGGAAACCTGGAGAACCTCAGTTTGGCCTTCACCAATGTAACCAGTGCCTGCGCCGAGCACCTCATCAAACTGCCTTCGCTCAAGCAGCTGAACCTGTGGTCCACTCAGGTACATCCTCCCACCCTGCTCCAGGCCCTCCACACCTCTTCCACCTCTGCACCCTCCTCCCTGTTCTCCTGTACCATCTTCCTTTCCCCTCACCCTCCTCCTTGCCCCCTCATCCTC